CAAAAGAAAAAATCTCTTCTGAGGCAGTGTCCACATGTTCCAAGCATTTACCAGCATATTCAAAACACAGTAAGAAGAAAATTGTATTTAAAAATTCAGCTCTCTTCTGACAGTGCTGAATATTTTAATACTTTTCACAATAGGAAGAGTTGAAAGAGACGGCATGAACTTTGCCCACACACTCAGTTTTAAAAACATGCTGCATTTGAAACATGACCTTTGGTAGCTTAAACAGGAAACAAAACTTGGAGAGCTGAGGAAGGACTTTAAGGGCAAAGGGCTGAAAATTTTCAGCTGCAGAAGCTGGTCCTCTTCCTCTCCCACCCCTGTGAAATTACTAAAATGCCAGTGACACAATCTCCTAATTTATAATCAGAGGGCAGTCAAATGAGTTTCTCTTGATGCTAGTGGCTGCGAGCTTTTAAAATGAACAAACAGTGAATTATCTTTTAGGTACTTTCCATGGTCTGTCTGAAATAGCACAGCAAGGGGCTTTCCATGGTGGGAGTGTTGCTGCTGAAGGCAGCAACACACATTGCTGCTTTCAGATGACACAGCACGGCTTTAGGCACGCTATACAGAAGAGCTCTGACACCACAGCACCCTTCTGCAACCCCTGCTCACCTAATGACTGTATCTGTACTAGCCAGAAAGGTACACAGGTATGTAGGAGGCTGGTTAGACCCTGCGTTGACATATTTGTTGGGCTCTTCCCTTCACTCTCAGTACCACTCAATCCAACACCTTGCCACAATGGGGAAGAGATATGAGGTATCAGATAAATCAACTACTACAGTTGCCATAATCCCTCTCCAGCTCCCTCCAGACACAACAGTCACTACTGCCATGCCCACAATCCTTGCTTTACTCCTGGGGGAATTCTGAGCCATGCAGAAAACATGCCCACCTGCAGATTTCTTTGCTTCCTTGCAGAAAGTGATGGGGAAGCCAGGGGGGATGGGAGGGGCAGGGGATGCCCATGGGCGTAGTTTGGGGAGGCATTGCCCCCCAAACAGAGGCGAGGCGTGGGCGGCACACAGAGTCACGTGCCACTGCCCCCCCCTCCGTTTCTGCGAGCACAGAGCTGCCTGGCTGAAAGAGGCTGCCACTCAGTTCAGCTGACTTTGCAGCTGGTTGCCGCCTCCTGAGTCCCAGTGCCAGCTTGCCTTCTGTGTGCTGGGAGACGTCCTGTTTTCGGTATAACCGTGAGTGCCTGTGGTGGGGCAGGGAAAGGGGGCTGGTGTGTGGGAAAGAAGCAGTGGGGAAGGAAGGGGGATGAGATGGGGGGGGCAGGGTGATAGGATGGGGAAGAGAAGGAGATAGGGGAAGCAGGAGCCCAGCATGCGGCATCCCCTTGGCAGCAGCTGAAGTAGGGGCTCCCCTGTTAAGCAGACCCATCAAACTCCCATCCCAATGAGCCCCACCGCCCCTGTACGTGACCACCCCACTGAGCCCCAACCAGCTATATCCAGACCCTCACCCTGACGAGCCCCTCCTCCCTTGCACCTGGACACCCCTCTGAGCCTCAACCACCTTCGCCTGGACCCCCCTGCAGAGTCCCATTGCCCCTGCACCTGGACCCCCCCAACAAGCCCCTGTGCATTCAGATCCCCCACTGAGCCGTCCACACCCAGACTGCCCCACACAGAACCCTCTTCCCCACATCTGGATCCCCCACACTAAACCCTTCTACACGCAGATCCTGCTAGGCTCAGCTTGCCTGCTCACCCACACCTGGTGTGCCTGGTGCAGAGCCCAAGTTGTTTCTGGGGCAGGCTTGGCCCTTGCGCTGTGTCAGGGTTGGGTGCAGCCTCACTGCTGAGTCCCTGTCCGGCGGGAGGGGGAGCAGAGTGTTGGAGGTGGGAGATCACCCTGCATGCAGCTAGTTACCTGCGCTCCCCACTGCCATGCTGGAGCCTCCACATTTATGTATTGACAAATACCATTTTCAGAATGTTGAAGAATTTTAAAATATTGTGCATAAAATTTTTATTTTTTGGCACAGAATTTAATTTTTTGGTGCAGAGCTCCCTCAAGAGTATTGCTTGTCGCTCAGGATAGAGTTCCAGGCTCAGAGCTGCACAGCATGGCAGCCCAAGATGCTTCCACTGGACTGCCTCAGATGGACTTAACTTTATTTTAGCAAAATAATCTTCAATGTTTTCTGATCGTTAAGAGCAGATTAAAGGAGAAGGCTAGTGCTTGTCAACTAATATCTCACATGCATACAGCACATTCCATTCAGAAGGATCCCAAAGTGCCCCCTCTGCTCCCCCACCCATGAATAGCTTCTCTCACTACTGGAGCACAGACACCTCTCGAGTGAAGTGGGGTAGTGATATACAGTCCACAGCAATACTACAGAATAGTTTGGGATGGGAGGTGAAGAAGAATCCTGTATCCCTCTTTACATGCAAGAAGGAATTAAGAAAGTAGAATGTAATTACCCAACTTGGAATTTAACCAGGACACCAAGGCTAACACCCCTAATCTTGCAAGAATGCTATACGATTTTTAAATGGCTACCGGAGGTCAGCTCTTCAATTGAATGTCTTATCCAAAAGAAGTTACTTCCAACAGCAAATACTCCTTATCATGCTAGGTTTTGGTGCAGCACTGACTGGCAAGGAAAAAAGCTCTCTCATGAATAACCAACAACATGGCATGTGGCACCTTTTCCTTGGAGGTGTCTCGTCCAAGTAGTGACCAAGCCCAACCCTGTCTAACTTGTGAAATCTTACAAGATCACACGGACATATGGCTACAGAGGATACCTCTTTGGCCCTACAGAAACTGCCCTCATGCCCTTTTTTGGAAATAAAATAGAATTAAAGTTCTCAAACAGTCTCTCAAACCTATTTCCAAACTAGTCAGTAGCTGTTTAAAGAGAGGGGGCTGAATACCTTCCTGCCAGACGTAGCTCCATTTACCTTAATTGAGCTGGGCTCACTTATGCCACAGTTGAATTTGGTCCCACATGTTAAATTGGGGCACAAAATTTCATGCTAACAACTGCCAGTCATACAGCACATAATTGAACTCGGAACCCAGCAATGCTAAACTGAATCCTCAGTAAACACACTGGTATCCTGAAGCTGTATCTCTAATCTCCTCCCTATAAATTAGAAACGCTACCAACAAGCACTAGGGTTAGATCTTGAATTTAACATTTATTTCAGTCAATTGCATAAATACCCCATGACACTCATAGATCTCGGGGTGAGATTTTCAAAGCAGTCTAAGGGAGCTCAGCACCCAACTCCCACTAAATTTCTAGGCTGAAATCCAAGCCAAGAAGTATTAGAGTATTGGCCAATTAGAGCCCAAAGTGCAGATAAAGTTCTCTACTAGTGGCCACTAAAGGCAAACCAGAGGACTCAGACAAAATCAGAAGTAAACGTAGTTCTTCCTGCCTCCCTGTAATGGCATTGCTAATAGAATCAAGATGTCACATTACACAGATTGATCTTAAATGCTTTGTCAGGAGTAAAACATCACTTCCTCACCCCAACTCCTCAGGAGTCACCTGCTATTATCTCAGTCCCTTCACTCAGTGGTTCTCACGGTCTGGGCTATGATTCCAGTGTTTCCAGAGGGTTGTAAAAATTTCCCCAACAGACCAAGTTTTCTTTTATATTTATTTTTTTAAATTGTTCCTAACCCATCTGATTGCAAATAAATCCTTACAATGCAAATTACTGCAGTAGACTCTATTCACTACAGAGTGCTGGGAAACGTGCCATTCATGAAATTTTCAATGGGGATGTATCTTTCCAATGAGATCAGTATCATATGTATGTATATGTGCTAATGGTCACAGTCACTGGGCCATAAAAACTGCAGATGGCATTGAACACAGAATTGGTGAGGTTCTGATGCTAAGGGAAAGAGGGGGTACAGAGGACATTTTGTCCAGCAAGCTGATGGAAGAGGTTATTTTGGGGCACACCCACTGAATCCATGACTCTATGGATCTCTTGACCAGGCCTCCTGTGTGTTGGGGGATGGCCCCACTTTCCCAATTACTATAGTCCCTGGATGTAAAAGAGCAGTGGGCAGGACAAGAACTATATCCACTCCACCATCTCCAAAACAAATTCATTTATTCAGGGCTGAAGGTAAATGCCTATTTTGGCCATAATATATGGCAGAGACAAACTGGAGAGAATCCAGAGAGCAACACAAATGATAAAGGATTTAGAAAGCCTGCCCTCTGAGGAAAGGTTAAAAAACCTGGGTATATTTAGTCTTGAGAAATGGAGGCCAAGGGGGGACCTGATAACAGTTTCTAAATATGTTAAGGTCCATTATAAAGAGGACAGTGATCCATTGTTCTTCGTGTCCACCAAGGGTAGGACAAGAAGGAATCAGCATAGTTTGAAGCAAGGGAGATTTACGTTAGATATTAGGAAAAACTTTCTAACTCTAAGGAGAGTTAAACTCTGGGAATAAGCTTCCAAGGGAGATTGAGGAATCCCTACCATTGGAGGTTTTTAAGAACAGGGGGACAAACACCTGGCAGGGATGTCTAGGTTTACTTGGGCCAGACTCAGCACAGGTGGCTCAACTAGATGGCCACTGGAGATCCCTTCCAGCCTGATATTTCTATGATTACAGTTTTTTGAGCAGTTTTTTTGGGCTGATGCAGCAAGAAGGATTCTGGGATATGGCGTCTTGGAAGTAAGAAGCGAGTGATTTTGGAGGTCATAGAAGGAAAATATGGTTGGTTTGAGGGATCATACAAAGTATTTGAAAACTTCTCCAATCAGTCTACACCCTCACTAGGATACACAACCACCTAGGTTAGATTGGAAATCTCTGAAAGCTCCAGGAGGCCAGAGCTTATCTAGGATTGAATTAGAGCAGCTGAAAGCTCAGAGGCTGAAGGCTAATGCCAGCAGGAACTCATTTAATTCCCAGTGTCTTGCCCATCACCACTCACATGCAAAAGAAAGAAGAAAGCAGAATGAAGAGATACATGGAGAGACTCTAGTCTTTACCTCATACTCTTTAATAGTCCCTTTCCATGGGCAGCCATCGTTAATACAGACAGCCGGCAGACTTTCCACCTCCCGACGAGCTGCATTATCTGAGAAAGCCTCAAATGGGAAAAAGCAAAGACAAGTTACTCTGGGATTGCAGCTTTGATCTAGTCTCCTGATTCTTCACATGCCATTGCTAAGAAACAGTCTTCCCAAACTTGTTGTCCCACAATACCCTTAGAGATGCATCTTGTAAACCAGCTCCAGCCAAGGCCGTAGGAGTTAGCTAAGATAAACTCACAGCTGGAAAACAAACCAGCTCACCTGTATGTTAGTGTTGTTCAAAACAGGTATTAGTATCATAAGAATGTATTTAGTGTTTAGACTCTATGAAATGCTTGTAAATTGCTGCATGTACTAATCTCACATATGATGTCTGTATTCCAGGCTATAAGGAAATATGTACGTTTTGCTTCATAATTTTGAAAATGTTTGCTCTGAACTTGTGAACCCACACACAGGAATCATGCCCCCAATCCATTAAAGAGGCCTATCAAGATTAAAAGGGCCATTAAGGAACATCACAATGCACAGGATTGGTGAACAGCCCTATCACCCCTTGGAAATGTACATGCAAGGGAGTTTGTCTCATGGACTGGAAGGCTATAAGGCCGTGTCTACACTAGCAAGTTTACACCGGCACAGCTGTACCAATGGAGAGAGGTCTCCCGTTGACATAATAAAACCACCTCCACAAGTGGTTATGTCCGCAGAAGAAGCTCTCCTAGGGCCACAGATGCCGGTGAAACTTATGTTGCTCAGAAGGGTTTTTTTTTTTTCACACGCCTGAGCAACATAAGTTTTGCTGACATCAGTGGTAATGTAGACATGCCCTAAATGTAAAAGACAAAACAGGGTCACAATTCATTTCTTTGCTGTTTGATCTCTCACACTAAACTAAGGCTATGGCTACAGAGCTGACATTGGTGCAGCTGTGCCGCTGCTAATGCAGATGCTCTAAGCCGATAGGAGAGCTCTCCCATCAACTTAATTATTCCAGCCGCCACGAGTGGCCGGGGCTGTGCCAGTGGAAGAAGCTGTCCCGCTGACATAGCGCTGCCCATACCAGCACTTAGGTTGTTGTAACTTACTTTGCTCAGGGGGGTGGCTTATTCACCCTAACTTATACCAATCTAAGCTGTAGCGTGTACATAGCCTTTGGCAGACATCCCCAGGGGTTACCCCTTGGCCTCTCCTGAATGACATTTTGAATTGACAGATTACTACATCTCTGTCACCTTTAGGAACCATAGATGGTAACTCATTTGTGTGTATATGCTTGCTTGCTTGAACCTATAAATAACTCTGTTATTTCTTTTTCCTAATTAATAAACCTTTAGTTAGTTTACTACAAGATTGGCTACAGGTGTTGTCTTTGGTGTGAGAGCTAAGACACCCCAGATCAATTTGTAAGTGACTGGTCACAACCTGAGTATTTTGTTATTTCTGAAGTAAGTGGCCACTTATCACTAAGTCCAGCTTGCCTGGGTGGCAAGATAAACTGGAGAGCCCAAGGGGACTGTCTGTGACTCCACAGTAAGATTGTTACAGTGATCCAGGAGTTCACATTTCTTACTGGGTTGGTGAAATCTAATTATAAAACATTACCACCAGTATGGGATAAGTACCCTGGTTTTGATAGTCTGCCCTCAGGCAGGCACTCATGTTCGTGAGCCACTCCAGACTGTGTGACAGCATCTATGACAAATCTTTATTGCAGAGTTTAAACAACTAAACTGTGTTGTAAGATGTCCTGAATTTTAGAAGTTGGGGAATCAATTGCAGCACTATCATAACACTTGGGATACTGAATTCACACCTGTTAGATAATGGATTCCATCATTCTTAGGTACCAGTCTCTGGCCTCTCACTCTAAACAAAAACAGGAAATGTTTATGAATGACTTCAATGTTCTCTGCTTTGGAGAGATCTTACTTACCGAATTTGTTTCTAAAATAGAAACTCCTTCTTCATATATTCCTTCCTGAATACAGGCTGCACACTTCTGAGGCCCAGAGCTAATGGGGTGGGGGAAAAAATCAGCCACAAAATAAAAAGATTCATGCTGAATTTGTGATTCAGAGACAATAGAGGCTTCTCAAGAGAGCCTTCAGAGCCAAAGAAGGTTTATTTACACAAGTATATTTTTAAAACAGCAAATGGAGCCATTTACTAACATACATTTTGCATTCATTGATTGATCCTTTTTAATGGATATACATTTCTGCTCTATTTTAGTTATTTCTTCCTTGTAGTGATCTTTATTCTAGTTTTCTTCCTCTCATGATTAACTGTTCTTATATTTAAACTTTCCCCCATGCCCTTAAAAGTGAAGACAGAGAAATTAAGAAGGCCAATTGAAACTTCTTTTGCGATCATAAAACATATTTTTACATTTCACACAGGTGGCATTATTGCCAAGCAGGGACCTCCAAGGAACAAATTCTTTATACGGCCCCGATAGTCACTTACAACAGTACTTAATTAGAGTGGATCAACCTAGATGGACCACCTGGTCTTTGTCACACCCAATAATCTCCTGGGTTTCGGCTTGACCATACCACCTGAAGAACACAACAAACTCAGGAAACTCTGGGTATGACTACGTAGCGTTTTGGAGCCCACGGGAAAGCTCAGACCAACAGACTTGGGTTAGCGGGCCTTGTGCTATCGCTCTAAAAACAGCTGTGTAGACAGTGCTTTGAAATGACAGCTGGGACCGAAGCTCAAGCTCTGAAGCCTGGAGAGAGCAGGCTTCAGAGCCCAAGCTCCAGCCTGAGCTGCAGCTTGAAAGAGCTGTCTACACGCTGTTTTTAGAGCCTTGCTAGCCTGAGCTGGTTGACCGGGGCTGGGAGGCTCCTTCCCGAGAATGGCAAAATGCTGTGTAGACATACCCTCTAGGGCAGTGGTCACCAACCCCTCTACCATGATCAGCTGGTTGATCCTGGAGCCTCTGCCAGTCGATTGCAATCTCCAGGTCACTAGAAGTCCGGCGGTGCAGCAGGCCTCAGGCAGGCTGCCTGCCTGCCCTGGCCCCACGCAACTCCCAGAAGCGGCTGGCTGCTAGCTCGTCTCTGCGACCCCTGGGTTGGTGCGGGGGAGGCAGCTCCGCACGCTGCCTCCCCCCCCAGCAGTGTCCCCACAACTCCAGTTGGCTGGGAACCAGGGCCGCAGAGATGTGCCAGCAGCCAGCCACTTCAGGGAGCACCATGGGGCTATGGCAGGCAGACAGCCTGCCTCAGACCTGCTGCGCTACCGGCTGGGAGCCGCCTATGGTAAGCGCCTCCTGGCCAGAGCCTACATCCCTCACCCTCTCCTGCACCCCAACACTCTACACCAGCCCACAGGCCCATCCTACACCAAACTCCCTCCAAGAGCCCTCACCCCCTCATGCACCACAACCCCCTGCCCCAGCTGCACCAAACTCCCTCCCAGAGCCCACATCCCTCACCCTCTCCTGCACCCTAACACTCTGCCCCAGCCTGGAGCCCCTTTCTGCACCCAAACTCCCTCCCAGAGATTGCACCCCTCACTCCTGCACTCCAAACCCCTGCCCCAGGCTCAGCCCGGAGCCCTCTTCCACACTCTGAACCCCTCAGCCCCAGCCCAGAACCTGCACCTTCTCCCACACCTCAACCCTCTGCCCCACCGCGGTGAAAGTGAATGAGGGTGGAGGAAAGCAAGCGAAAGGAAGGGGGGAATGGAGTGAGCGGGGTGGGGCCTCAGGGAAGGGGCAGGGTAGATCCTGGGTTGATCTTAAATTCAAAAAGTGATCTTGTGTGTAAAAAGGTTGGAGACCACTGCTCTAATGCCTGAAGAGAACCAGATGCTGAAATTAAGAGACAGACATAAAACGTGGCCCTCACTCACAACCCACTGAAAATAAGGCTGTATTTCCTTTTTTGCTTTCCTTTGCTTCTAATCATTTTGTTTCAGACTGGAGAGGGATAAATTACCTTATAAGTTTCTTCAGACAGTAAGAACAATAGCGGTGTCCACACTGAGCTTGAAATGGCCTCCTCAGAATATTCTTGCACTCGGAGCAGAGGTATTTGCCCTCCAATTTAGTCCCCAGTATCTCCTTTGAAAATCCAGGCTGGTTTAAATCCAAAGAACCAGGTGGAGTCGAGTTTGCTGCTGCCATGTGAACCAAAAACCCCAGATGTGCCTCAAGAGCCTGAAAAAAGAAAAATGTTTTGTCCCATTTGATTATCTTGTTCTCAGTTGGACACGGTTCACCTTTCACTACCTTCACTGCATTGATCACCTGGAAGCCACCGCAATAGCCGAGCTTGTTATTCCTAAGCACAGGTCTGCAGTGTATTATACACACTGAAACAGCCAACTAGGCAGATTGTGTCTTCTGGCACTTGCCAGGGGCAGGGGCTCTAAAGTTAAATCCGAAACAAGGAAATGGGGTGGGATATCCTTGCCTAGTTCCCCACCCACCTTAATTATGGAAAAACAAACTTTGGACAAATTGCTGCCTCCAGTCCAAAACAAGAGAGACCCGAGAGGAGACCACTTGCCCAATGTCAAACTGATCAAGAGAATAAACAAAGAGCCTCCTGAAAACTTCCTACATGTCAAGTGACACAGCCATGATCCAGTGCCACACACTTCCATTTCTGGCAGTTGTCAAAATTCACTGTGATCCTATATAAGGCCAGCGGCTCACTTGAGTCACAGGTGGAACCTGTTTGAACAGCCGAGAGCCAAGATTTACAACATCCAGTCAGGTGTCTGAGGGTTCCAGGTTTCTTTGAAGGTTTACAAAACGAAAAGGCAAAAATGGTATAACCTAACGAAAGGAGTAATATACTGGGAATAAAAGGCAGTTTAGCGATTTATTTTTACTGTGTGCGCCATTCAGAAAACCTCCCTCCCAATGCTCCCATGTACAGACTAGACCAAAAGGTGTGTTAACTACATGTATGTTATCTTTGTATCAAAACAGCCAAACAAGCTATAAGCCGGGGTTAGACCGAGTTCCAAGCATTTAGCATTTAAATCTGATGTATTCTGAGACCATATTTACACTACAGCCACTACATCGACACAGGTATAGTGCTGCAGCTGTACTGTCGTAGCAAAAATGCTTCCTAGTTAATGAGAGGCGGTAGCTAGGTTGATGGAAGAATTCTTCTGGCAACCTAGTCGTGTCTACACTGGGGACTAGATCGACCTAACTACAGCCCTCAGGGTATAAACTTTTTCAGCCCTGAGCAACATAGCTAAGTCGATCTAACTTTTAAACATAGACCAGGGCTTAATGTCATTGTGTTGCCTGATGACTGACTTTAACCAGATGTTTTTAATGTAGTCTAAATTTATTAAGAGAAGTAACTTGGTGTAAATGTTGGCTATCGACCATCGACCAAGACTGTAAAAATGCCTCCCTGAAATATAAATTAACAGTTCTAGAAAAATTGAGGGCATCTTGCAGGATCTCTCCCTCCACAAGTGTCCAATGGCACAAAAGCAATTAAGTGTAGCTGGACCATGGAGAAGATACGAAGGGGCATGGGGTGGGGAGTGTATCCAGAACACTGGAAACAAGCTACGTAAAAAAGAACACATGTTGCGTAATTGAATCATTGTGTGACCCAGCCAGTCTTTAGACCAGTGGTTCTCAACCTGCGGCCCAATCAGCACACAGCTGCAGCCCATGTGACATCTTCAGGGCCATACAGGTAGTATTGGATGTGGCCCACATAACACATTGAGAACCACTGCTTTAGAGGAAACCAATTTAGGTCAAAATCCTGCTTCTTCTGAGGCAGTGGTGCCTTGGGGAAGATAAGGAGTTACAACCAGCAATGCCAGGAGGCATAACTCCTCCACAGGTAATAAGCGGAAGATTGCTGGATATTGCCTCTCACCAGCTTAAGACCCTGTCCTTGTTCCAATCAGAAATCCTCCCACTTTGGGGAGGGTGAACACTGCCGACAACGGCAGCCACAGCAAATTATGGATGAGTGCGGGGGGGCAGGGAGGAGGAAGGAAGGGGGATAAAACAAGAGGAAGGCTCCTTCTGATTGCATGCAATTATGTAGGGCCAGAAGAAGGGTAAAGCTGTGCATGTAATGCCCTAACCTCAGAGCCAATATTCACTGACAAGAGAGCCGACATCAGGGCAGGTGAAAATGCTCTTGGTTCACAGACTGCATTATACGTTTGCAGCCAGACTTGAATAATCAGAGTCTCTCTGGAGAAAAAGTAAAATTTCAGCGGGAATGTTCCCAACGGAGAGGAACCAGTGTATAAAAAATTAAGCACACCGATCTCAGAACAATATATTCTTAAGGGTATCTAAAGGGTTCCAAACGGCCACAATTTGACCTAGAGGTTTGTATACATGACTGGAAATCAGCAAGTCTAACTAGGTTATACTCCTGGCTCTGCCACAGACTGAAAGCCTCACCTTGAACATATAAATCCCCCTCTACACCTCATATAATGACAGGTTTCAGAGTAGCAGCCGTGTTAGACTGTATCTGCAAAAAGATAAGGAGTACTTGTGGCACCTTAGAGACTAACAAATTTATTTGAGCATAAGATTTCGTGAGCATCCGATGAAGTGAGCTGCGGCTCACGAAAGCTTATGCTCAAATAAATTTGTTAGTCTCTAAGGTGCCACAGGTACTCCTTTTCTTTTTGCCTCTACACCTCAGCTGTCAAATAGAGTTACCAATACTTTGCTACTACACAGGAGAGTCCTGAGGATTAATTTATCAATGTTTATAAAGTGCCCCGAGGGCCATTGCTGGATGGCACTCTATAGGATGTGGAGACCATTATTTATTACCCTGTTCCAAGTGGGCTAACAAACCGCCGGTTTCCTTCCCTCTACTCCCAGTAAAACTACCATAACCAAAAGCAAGGCGAATTGTTTTGGACCTGGCCTAGATACAGTAGCTCCTGTAACTACCATCATTTCTGGGGAGAAGAGGCATAACTTATAACCAATCACTTTTAGTTCTGTATTGCTGCCTTTTTCCCCCCTGCAAGACAAACTCAATGGCACAGCCTGTTAAAAAGCTTTCCGGATTGTCTAGGCATTACTTTGATGGAGTAGTTCATGTAAATTCCACATAACCCAGAATCACTAGGTACGACCAATTCAGAAGTCAGTCTGATACAAGAGCAATAAGCCACTCCACTGCTGGCTGCATTTAATTTAGCCAAGAATTTCAACATTCACCTTCAGTAAAAACCCTGGCTGTTTCAGGAAGGGAAAAAAATATGTTCTGGCTCAATCACAAGATATGGGCTTGATGGAGGAATTATTGGGTGATATCTTTTGGCCTATGTCATACAGGACGTCAGACCAGATTCTCTTAATGGTCCCTTCTTCTGGTCTTAAAGTATAGGAATAGAGGGTGCTAATGAGTCTGCACTTCCCTCTAAGGGAATACTTAGCCAGGAATTAGAGGTAGTTAGGGACTTTTCTACAAAATGGTTTTTCATCAGAAATGCCAATCTATCAAAACGAAAACTTTGTGTGGTAACAGATCAGTTTCAATGAAACTTTCTTCTGAAAGGTTTCTCGTGTCCAGGACAGAATTTCTGGTCAGACAGAAGCTACCCACCAGAATAGCTTGATAGTCAGAGTAACGCCCCTGCTCCAAATTAGGTAGAACAGAGACTTGAACTTCGGTCTCCCACATCCCAAGCAAGTGTCATAACCACCAGGCTTTTCTGGAGTGAGTTCTCTCTGACTCTCCATGAAATATTTCAAAAGGTTTTGGGTTTATCCCAGTAAAGAACAGAAAAACTTTTCAATTCTCAAAACCGTTTGACAGCCATTTCCTGTGCAGCTCTACCAGTGACCTAGAGCAGGGATAGGCAACTGGTGGCCCAAAGGACAAATCTGGCCTGCTAGATCATTGTAAGGGCCAGGAAAGGCACAGGGCTTTGCAGGGGGCAGGTCCTGCCTGCCCACAAATGTGCACATCAGATAACGCTGTGACAGGAGTCAGCAAGCCGGAGCAGTGAGCCAGACCCAATTCCATGGGACAAGAACTGTTGCTGTGGGGTAAGCACAGGATGGGCTCTTTCGCCAGTCCTGCACCAGGACCAGATTTCCCCCTCCCCACAACCTCTCAGGGCAAGACCCAATTCTCTGCCACATCACACACCCCTGCTAGCTAAAAGATTTTAGTGGATTTTGTAGCCTTCTACTACCTTAAAGTTACCCATCCCTGACCTAGAGAGATGCTAGAGCACACCATACTGCACTTTACATATCAGCTGAGATCTAAAAAATGGTCATTGCCTGTGGTCATCAAAAGATCACAAGGCGAGCTTAAATAGCAGGTGGGTGAAAGTGTTCTCATGTGTTCAATTTAAATAAGTACAGGGGCACCTGTGGGACATTGTAACCATAAATAAATGGACCTGTACATTTTATCCTTTATTCATGTTATGCTTATCTAAACATTTGTACTATGCTCATCACTACAGTAGCCATCTTTCTTCTACACCCCACTCATTTATCATCATGGAAAGACCAGATCAGCAAAGTAGTTTTTACATTCTGATCAGAAGATTGAAAGAAGTGCATTAATTCTAACTCTTCTAAGAGCAAGTTCCCACAACTATGGGCCAATTACTGAGAAAACTGAGTCTCACACTTGAATCTGTCTCTGCTGGCATTATTAACCACTTCCATTCTTTCAGTGGAATATACCTAGATTGGAAGGTCATAGCCTCAGAGAGCAAAGTGATCTCTTAGGTACCTTGGGTCAATCCCATGAAAAGCTTTGAAGACAAGGACTGAGCAACACACACTTTAATGTTCAAGTCTAGTTTAATATACATGTAGTGCCCTTTATAGACAGAGTAACTCACAAAAATGTTATTTTTGCTAAAAGTACCAGTCATGTTAACGACAGTAGTTAAATACATTATACAACAGCTGCATAGAAAACAAATTAGTGGGTCTGGCAAGTGAGGGAGAGAATGTATAGGTCTGCCGCACTGCAAGAAAAGCTCTCATTAATAAGAGTGTAGTCCTATTACACCAACATATTCATGTGCCTACAGTTGTTGAACAAGAGTAATGTGAGAATATGGACTCTAAAATCCATACAGAAAGATTATTTTAACTGTTTTCCTCTTTTTCTAATTTTCAGGTGAATTTCATACTTGAAAACTCTGAGGGCTGAATGCCCCCAGGCACCCACAGGACAGCAGTACTTCAGGATCCCCATGGTTGTGTTTAACCACTGACACAATGTAACCCATGGTTTCAGAGTTGCAGCCCTGTTACTCTGTATCCACAAAAAGAACAGGAGGACTTGTGGCACCTTAGTACTCTAGGTGCCACAAGTACTCCTGTTCTTTTAATGTAACCCATGACGGTTCTGATGAGAATGCCAACCAGGTGTCAGTAAATGTTTTCCACAAAGGTTTCTGCAAGGCCATCTCCGGCTATCTGCTGGGAACTAGACTGACATTCACCCGCTACGTTTAAAAAGCCCTTTAAGGGTGTCAGGGACCGTGTGGAGGCCACCTTTTGGACAAGTATAGTTCTGTATATTTCCCACAGTCCTATTTCCCAGCATTTTGGGCAATGTTAAGTAGGATGTGAGGCAAGCGTGAATCATGCAGAAGTGGCGAAGTTTCAGCTTTTGTTGCTGAGACCACATTATTGTACCTACTGGGCGGCATTTAGGTTAAACGGCTCTGCGATAGCCAGGGGTCTCCCGTTAGGGAGTCTCTTTGACTAACGAGGAGCGGCTTAACAAAAGCAAGCCCTGACTCGAGTCATTCAGTCTGATCACCAAAGCCCACTTCAACTCGAAACAGAAACAAACCCGGAGCAAAGGCCAGCAGTAAAGAGCTTTCCCACGGGCCGACAGGCGCCACGGCACCGGGCGCCCGCAGCGACCCACCCGCCAGGCGCGCAAGGGGCTTCCCACGCGCCAGCGCCCGGGGCCGCCGCCGCTGGAATTTCCCCTCAGCACTTCCCGTCCCGAGTTCCCCTCGCCAACGGCTCTCGCTCGAACACCCCGGCCGCCCCCGAGGCCCCCGGCCGCGCTTCCCGCGCCGGGCCCCGCCCACGCACGGGCCCGAGCCCAGCCTCCCGCGGGACAGGGGCCGCTCCCGCGCCGCCCGCCCCGCCCGCTGCCAGGCGCAGCCGCCGGCCCGGGCCCCACACGCTGCGCGCGCCCGCCCCGCGCTGCGCCAGGCGCCCTGGGGCCCGCCCCCCGCCCCGGGCCGGACACTGGCCGGGCGCCGACCGCCCTGAGCCCGCGGGCGGCCGGGGAACCGCCCCACTTACCGGCAGCCTCGCTCCGCTCCCCGCCAGCCACACCGGAAGCACCGCCATAAGCCACGCCCAGCGGACACGTCCCCCGGGCCACGCCCCCGAGGGCTAAGGCCCGCCCCCGCCCCCGCCCCCGCCCGGTGGCGCTGCCAGAAGTGGCCGTTGGCGGCGGTTGAGGGGCAGGTGGGGGGACGGGCGGCGGCAGCGGCCCCCTCCCCATCCCCTTCGGCCCGACTCACGGGGCCCCGCGCCTCCGTCACCCCCGGACCCCCCGCCCCCCCCCCCCAGCCCGCGCCTCCGTCACCCCCTGCCCCCCCGCACCCTGCCCCCCAGCCCCACGCCTCCGTCACCCCCGGCCCCGCGCCTCCGTCACCCCCGGCCCCCCCGCCCCCTGCCCCCCCGGCCCGCGCCTCCGTCACCCCCGGCCCCGCGCCTCCGTCACCCCCTGCCCCCCCGCACCCTGCCCCCCCGGACCGTGCCTCCGTCACCCCCTGCCCCCCCGCACCCTGCCCCCCCAGCCCGCGCCTCCGTCACCCCCCTGCCCCACGCCTCCGTCACCCCCTGCCCCCCCGCACCCTGCCCCCCAGCCCCACGCCTCCGTCACCCCCGGCCCCGCGCCTCCGTCACCCCCTGCCACCCTGCCCCCCGGCCCTGCGTCTCCGTCACCCCCTGCCCCCCGCACCCTGCCCCCCCCGGACCGTGCCTCCGTCACCCCCGGCCCCGCGCCTCCGTCACACCCTGCCCCACCGCCCCCTGCCCCCCAGCCCCACGCCTCCGTCACCCCCGGACCCCCCGCCCCCTGCCCCCGCGCCTCCGTCACACCCTGCCCCACTGCCCCCCAGCCCCGCGCCTCCGTCACCCCCTGCCCCCCCGCACCCTGCCCCCCCCGCACCGTGCCGTCACCCCCTGCCCCCCCGCACCCTGCCCCCCCAGCCCGCGCCTCCGTCACCCCCGGCCCTGCGCCTCCGTCACCCCCTGCCCCACCGCACCCTGCCTCCCGGTCCCACGCCTCCTTCACCCCCTGACCCACCGCACCCTCCTCCCCTCGCCTGTGCCTCCGTCACCCCCTGACCCACCGCACCCTCCTCCCCTCGCCTGTGCCTATGTCACCCCCAGACCATGGCACCCTCCTCCCCTCGCCTGTGCCTATGTCACCCCCAGACCACGGCACCCTGGCCCTGGCCCCGTCCCCCTGCCTACGTTACCCCTGACTCACGGCACCCTGCCCTCCTTGCCTGTGCCTATGTCACCTCCAGATCCACGGCAACCTGCCCACTCTGGCCCTGTACTTGGGTCACCCTCTGACCCATCCCCTCATGCCCATGGTACCCTGCCCCTCCCCCCACCAGGTCCTTTGCCTGTGACTCTCCTAACCCCCCAGACCTGTCCCTGTGTCACCACCTGTCCCCTTCTCTCAGCCCTGTGTCTGTCTCACCCCCATCCCAGCACCCTGCACCCTCCCCCCAGGCCCACAACACAACACAGTCCGCCTGCACCTCATGTGTATCCGTCCCTGTGTTAAGGCTATCTTGGATGCAGATCATAGTTCTCTCCCCAGATCTCCCAGGAAGCATGTTCTCTACTCCTTCCTCAGAACAACTAGGGGGTTCTTAAGAGGATGATCTAAATCCCCCTTCTAACCTGCCGCTCCCACACACAGATCTCCAGCCTCATCGAGGGCCCCTCTAGAATGGAGGAGAGGGGAGAGCTGTGTGCAGAGTCCACCACTTCCTGCACACATCCAGAGATGATCCTCCAATCTCCACACACAGTTTGTAAGCTCCTCAGGGTTGTCTCCTTTCATTTTGCTGAGCTGTAAATGCCAGGCACATCCATTGTGCCACAGAAGTAGACAATACTAAGACATTAATAATTAATAAAGCTTCTCAAAAGTCCTGAGTGTCATAGCTTTCCCCCCACTCTCCACCCCCTTGCTTTAAGTTAATAAAGAATCACAGAAATTCCGCTCCCTGCACTTTCCGTAATCAGACACCTCATGCAAAACACTGCTTTGCCTGACTTGGGGCAGCTCTTCCCAGCATCGTTCAAAAGAGAACCCCTTACTAGACAGAATGAAAGTGAGTGCTGAGGTCTCTGTTTCATTTCTCAATTCCCTGGTGGATGCTAGTTTGGGGAATGAGATGCTGTTATCTGAGACAGCCAGACTCAGAAGAACATCTGGGTACTACTACTTGCATTCATCCCAACCTCAGCATGATGGGATCCCAACACCTTACAAAGCTACAGAAATGAAAGTACTTCTCAACAGTGTGCGATCTTACAGAAACCGAGGTGCCCAATAGCACAGAGTCAACAGCAGAGCTGGGACTATAACTTACATCTTGTGTCCCCCAGTCCCGTTCTGTAATCACTAAACATACTGCCTCCACCCTGCAGAGGCCCACAGCTTTTACCCTGTGCTTGAGAACAGCAGGCCCTTATTGAAAGCCCATTGAAGTCAATGGAGACTCACACAGACTTTGGATCAGGCTCATTCTATAATCCCCCAGGGCGAAATCCTGACCCCCACGGACTTCAATGGAGCCAGGATCTCGGTCAAATCCTTAGTGGACAGGTCAGTGCCTGCACCACCATGGGAGGCTGGTATCAAAGGTCAAGGCAGGCTAAGCCTCCACTAACCCAGGCCTTGCCTCCCTCCCCCTCTCCCCTGAAGCCAGCAGAGACTTAGCTCCAGCTGGCAGCCCGGGGCTGGGCCAGCAGGGCAAGGCCTTCACAAGCCGTGAGGGGAGGGTGCTCCTCCTGCTGTGGGGGGAGCATCCAAAGGTGGGGTTCATGCCACCACCATCAACTAGCCCCTGTTGGCAGCCTCAGCAGAGGGGTCCATGGACTGCATGGGCACTGGAAAGTACTCACCCCCCTGAGGTGGTCTTTAGAAGTCAAGCTGATTAGCAGGGCAGTTTAGCTTCTATCCAATCTATCTGTGTAGGCATCTGTCTTGCATCAATAATGCTGCAGCCCGTTGGCTGGGTACATGATGAATTTCACTCCTCGTAAGACAATCTATCCCCCACTTGAGGTTCCCCACTAAGAACTCTAGGCAATGCACATCTTCTCCATGCCATACAGAACACCTGCAGACCACTCTGAGGCATGTGGGCTAAACCCCAGGATGAGGACTGGCCTCCAAAGGCTCTTTAACACACTTGATTACCTTAAACAAAGCAGCAGAGCTCCCTTACCTTTGAGAAGAGTGACATTGCTCATTCCAGCTCTGAGAGTCAGCTCTTGGCTGAGCGGTGGTTGCTTAGAACAGAAAGTGGAAGTGAGATGCATGCCTAGAGGAGAGTCAGCAGGGGGCTGGCTTTGTTTTAATAAGAACTGAGGAGAAGGGAATTGAAAACCAGAACCCTGTGTGACGTTCCAGGCCATCAATAGCCCCCCATAGGTGCTTTCACAGGGGGAACTCGGCTTTGCTAAAGGTCAGGCCAAAAGACCTGTGACTTTTACAAACACAGGTGTACATTTCAAAGCAGATCATTCTATTCTGCCTCCCTAACCACCCCATAGAGATCATTTGATACTTAGCTTAGCAAATCTAAGTCCGTTTTGGGCAGTGCAAGGGCTCTTGGGTCTCTTCATTGTGTCCCCACCATCAAGAATACCATGTCTCAGTGCCACAGGGCTGAGGTCTTCAGTGCTCTTTACACTAGCCAGGTGTGAAGTAGTCAGATTGTCCTCTTCCCAGGGAGCTCAGTTCACCTGGAGCAAGGAGAGTCCCCAGCAGGCACAGAGCTGGCATAGTCAGGTCTGCACCACTGCCCTCATGGAAGCCGCTGGTGCAGGGGGATCTATGCCACAGGTGTTAGATTGGCTCAATGGAAGGGGTGAGGGGAGGGGGCATTGCAGCTAGAGTGCAAGTTATGGCAGTCCCTGAGGCAGCTATAACCTACACACTAAGGACTGAATCGGTCCCTGGCAAGCCCTGGGACAGCGCTGCTGGTCCCCACACTGGGGCTTAGTCCAGAGCGGGAGTCACATACACACACCCCAGCTCCTTCAGCATCCAAAGGGGACTGTGGGCTACTCTGGAGCTTGTCAAGAAAAGCTGCTTCTTGTAGGGCTGGCCCAAGCAATTCTGGGGCCTCCCACAAAGCCCCTAGCTGCAATGCTCCAGGTTCAGTGTGCAACCTGCTCCCCAGCTGGTGACAGGAGCAGGTACCAGGCCTGCAGTTGAGGGAGCTGATAGATGACAGGGAGAGTGATTAGCCAGATTTGGGGGGTGTTTGTGCAGTGAATTGGGGGACTAGTGGATGGAAGTATTCTGTAAACGGGGAGAGCCTCAACCAGGGCTCCTTGCCTCCACCACCCCACACTGGCTGGACTGACCCCGCTGTGGATGCACTTGTAGGGTTCCCACTCTCAAGTCCCAGGCAGCTGGCTTTACAGCAAAGCTTGGCCAGCCTCCTTTGGGGCCCTCTGTGTAGAGGAGGCAGGGGGCTTTTGCTGCTATAACCTGCTTCCTTGCCTCAGCTGTTCTTCTCCCACTGCCGGGTGGGGGTGCAGCCACACCTGGAGCAAGGGGTGTAATGCCCAGCTAGGCAGACGTCCTCTCGCTAGAGCGCTAAAAGCAGGCAGCAGCGAGGGGCAGCACCCTGAGCACAAACCCACTTGGGCTCTGTGAGTACATACTCAGGGGGGCTAGCTCGTGCCACTACTTGCATCTGCCCAGGCTACTGTGGCTACACAACTATTCTTAGCGCACAAGGTTGGTGAAAGTTAGTGTGAGTCTGTCTGTGTGAGCCAGGAATCACCCTGTGATGGGTTAGAACCCTGAGGACGTCACCTGATGTGCTGAGATACCACTGAGTCTACCTGTTCTGCCAGCCTGGGCCCCCTTTCACCTGTCTTGCTAAGCCAGGCTCTTAAAACATCCTCTAACACACACAGGCAGGGCCATACCCAGCTGCAGATGAGCTCTGGGAAGACTCAGCTTAAGGGATTTGCTCCAGCACTCAGATATCCACCTCCCTTGGAGTACAGACCCAAAGATATATTATATTTGCCTCTTCCCTCAATATGGAAGAGGGTATGCACAATTTCTCACACTCCTTCCTCCCCGATAGAAATCACATAACCCGGGTTGTATTATAAACCAGACATAAATGTATTAACTATAACAGGTGTATTTTAAGTAGTTAAGGAGGTAGCAGACAGAACAAGGCAGATTACTAAGAAAATAAAACAGAGCATGCAAACTAAGCTTAATACATTAAAGAAACTGGTTACATGTGAGTTCTCACCCTAAATGTGGTTCTAATAATCTTCTTCACAGGCCAGATGCCCTTCCAGTCTGGGCTTAGTTCTTTCCCCCCGTTCAGTCTTAGTTGTTTCCAGACATCATCTTGGGTGGAGTAGCAGGAGAGAACTGACCACCAGGATTACCTCACTTCCCACCATTAAATAGGATTGGCATAAGGTGGGAGTCCTGTGTTTCCTAGTGTGACACCCCCCCCTTCCCTTACAGTGGAAAGTTCCAAGTCGTCTCAGGCAATGTTTTAGACAACACAAGACCACCTGACTCTGTGGGGCCCTTGTAGCCATTCTTCACAGGCTGACCCCCATGTTTATAGGGAAACTAAACTTTTTTTACAGTCAATTGTCCTTGTTGATGGGCCATCCACCCTGTCTGGCTTTTCCATTGTTGTACCTGAAGTGTTGGCAATGGGTGTCACCCAAAGTAGCATAGTTGAAATACAGAGATATAGTCAGTATACCTAACTTCAGATACAGAAATGATACAGGGACACAAATAGGATAATCACATTCAGTAAATCTTAACCTTTCCAATGATATCTCACATGAGCCATCTTGCATACAATATATTTCAGTTGTCATATTCATAATCATATTTTCATAAAGCATAGGGAATGCCACATCACACACACCCCTCAGCTCCAAGGGTCTAGGTAACTTGAGATCGCAGATTGGGGCAGAGGCAGGGAGAGTAATCAGAGAACAGGCAGAAGCTGCCCCTCTGCTGTCTAGTGATCAGTGGAGCTGGGAGGGCCCATGCCTTGGAGGGACAGTTATGCACACACACCAGGGCAACTGGGGACTTGGGGAGCTGGACTGGAAGCAGCTCAGGGCAGGTCTACCTTGAAACACTGCAGTGGCGCAGTGAAGATGGTGCTCAGGGCATAACCTTACTCTCTGTGGGTCTGCAGCGTCTTTTAACGGTGAAAAAACCTTACATGGAAATATTCTACTTTACCTCTTGTGGTGAAGTGGGGTTTTCCCCTTGTTATGTTGCATGTGAATGCTACTGTCCTGTATTAATACTGTATGTGCCTCGGCGTCCCTGTGTACTGTACCAATGGCTAGGTGGTAGGAATAAGGGTGTGTGGCTTTTGCTAAGACCCTTGGGGGCAAGTGAGGCTGCCCAGCTGCCTGCACATAAGCTATGGCCGATGCCCTTCGTAACCAAAGCATCAGGAGGGGGATGCAACTAGGTGACATTTTGCCCAGGAAGCAGGACAAAGCCTCGGGGAGGAGCAACGTGTTTTTTCGGAGGCCAGGCAAGGGGGTCTAACTCAGGCTGCTATGAGGGACTTGAAGAGGCGGAAGACCAAGGAGTCTGGCCTGAGGTTCCCCCCAGGATGGACTTGGCTGAAAGTCACTGGTCAACTAATAAACCTTCCGGTTTACACCCTGCCTAAGAGTCACGACTGACTGTGGCACTGGGGTGCAGGGCCCTTTGGCTTCCTCAAAAGCCCCGCTTAGCCAGACTCTCTGCGGAAAGTGTATGGTGAACCAGGGTGCTGAATGCTCTGAGGTCAGATCCAGGAAGGCTGAAGCTGTGGTGGCTTCTTGCCCTGGCAACACACACCACTCCCAATAAGGCAGATGAACTTTTCTTGATGGCCAGTCAGAATCAGGTCATCTGGGGAACTCCAACTTCTGCATGGTGTCATTAGCAAAGTGTTGACGTCTGGCAGTTTTGATCATGGGGCTGGGGCCTGGAGTTGGTTCCCAAGAATTTCCTTTTGGACCCCAATTTATATAGTGAAATTTGAGTCTTGCTTAGTTGTACCTTAACCCACCATTTTACTAAATTACTAAACAATTTTCTAACCAATTCTAACATATTGTAAAACCATTCTTCAACCAATCCTATCCCACCACTTTAATTGATTTATACCTAGCAAAATTAGTTATGCAACAGACAAACAATTAGAGAACCAGGCAGAGACCCTACAGATAAACAATAGAGAAACTGGGATCATTAAGACAAAACAATAAAGAAGTAGGGATTTCACAACCACAACTTGTTGATAAGTGATTTCTCACCAGACAGAATGCCAGCAAACAAAATTTTCTTTAAGACATCTTAAGATTTGTTTCTTTATCTGGTGATGATGGGTAATATGAGGACAGGAGCCTTCTTAGCAGCTCAATACTACATTGTTTTAATGGTATTTAGATGTAATATGAGGATGTAACATTCTGCTTTTTAGCTCATGGCTGCTGCGCTCCTAATATGACTGCAGACAAGGCCTCAGACCTTACAAATGGCTACAGGAAAAGGCCTTATCCTTACAGTCCCGTCCTTAATGATATTTTTACCAAAGCGGTCATTACTCAGACCGCTGAGCTTGGGCTTGCCTCCTTGGTATAATTAACAAGGGCTTTATTTGACTTTGCATGCCAGCTTCCTGTATTCTCCGAACCATTCCCTTCATCCAGCAAGTCAAACCTATTATGCTTACTAACAAAGCCAACTGGATTCTAATCACCACCACAATGGAGTGAACCATTATATTTAGCATACCACTTGCAGAAGGTGACCACCCTAATAGTGTTTCCCACCAAGGTAATGTCTTGCATCTGTCATAGTTTTCAGTTCATGAGTGATTTCTGTATCATCATGCTGTTCTTCAATATGTATGTGTTCTGTTTGCACAATATATTGTAAATGCAAATGTATCATAGGATGGATTAACAATTTTCTTAACATGGTCATATACATGCCCAAGGTTACAGGCATTCATCACAATGTAAGTTTAAACCACAATTGTATCACAACTTTTAGTCCTTGTAATATTGCAAAAACATCTGTTAATTA